AGCATAAAACTTGGCTATTCATTGAATAATATTTTACCATCATAATGCAAATTCTGTGTGTGGTTTTTCCCCTTTTAAGGAAATATTTAATTATGGTTACAGAATAGAATGTGAAAGTCGTCAGTCTCGATGTAAAAATACAAATGGGAATGTTGTGGGAGGGAGGAAAACGTAATTGGAATGGTTTCGTGTTCTAATAAAGTGGAGAGTTGAGAGACACAGTCTGTTGTGAAGGGAAAAGAAGATATTTTGTTACTTACAAGGTAGCCATGGTTTCTAAACTAGAAATATAACTATTAAAAGTGGGAAGGTGGGAGGCGAGATCAGCATGAAGTCAACAGGAAATCCTGAAGATGGAGAGTTCAGGTAGGACTCCTCAAAAAGAAAAATTGATAAGGGTACCTGGTGTATTTGAATGTAGACTAGGAATTTTTCAAAGAGGCTGGGATGAATTATTAGTCTGCAGCCTTTTCAAAATTCAGAAAACAAAACTAATAAATCCAAGGAAAAATGAAAAGTTATAAAAAATATATTGCAACTGAATATTAGTCATGTAAATTCACTTATAGATATTGACTACTAGTTTAGCAAATGATTATATAGCATTTGAGAAAATGGAAGAGGAGAGAGATATAATTGTGAAAAGTCAAATCAAGATTAATATGGGGGTGGAGGTGAGTGCTTCCCTAGCATCCACCAGGATTGGGATTCAGTCTGTGTGTGTGAGTGTGTGTGTGTGTGTGTGTGTGTGTGTGTATACCCATATATGTATATCTAGAAAAAGCGATACAAACATGTTTTTCAGAAATATCTGCAGTAAGAAACAGGTTACAAGTTGTTGTCTCTGGAAGAACGAAATAAAGGGTAGGTCAAAAAAAGGCCAAGTTTTGCTTTTTTTCACTACCAGTTATTAATAGTATTATTTGATTTCTTTTAACTATGTGTAAGCTTTTGTTTAATTGAAAACTTACTTAAATAAAACTTACTTACTTAAATACATTTCCTTTTTAAAAGTTCCCTAGGCAATTTAAATATATACCACTGGTTAAAAGTCACAAGAGTAGAATGGGACTGAGCTGCTCAATCAGGCAAACTTCTTCAAATATTCATATTCTGTAGTTTTGTAGTGAGAGATAGATCCATTAATCTTCCTAAACCTATTTCCTCATCTGTAAATGAGGGTAATACCCCCACCTTGAAAGTTAGTCTAAGAACTAGAAGTAAACCTGCCCTAGTTCTTCATATATCCATAATAAACAATATTTCTTATAATATTTCTTATAATAATACCACGTTAGAAAGATGCTTTTCCAAAAGAAGTTTTAAGTTCTAAAGAAGGTAACAAGTAAGGTAGAGATCATAGCAGGATGGAAAAAATGCTCTAGAATGATCCTAGCTGAGATATTTGCACACAAGGGGGCTGTTTGCCTAAGTAAAGATTTAAACGCTAGCACTGTTCTATATTCTGGTTGTGTCTGTCAAACAATAGTCTTAAAATAAGAGGAGTCCTGCCCCTGCCTCACCTTACCTGGCTTTGGGCTCTTCCTACTCTATTCTTTTTCTGCAGCCAAACTTATCAAGTATATCTTCCTCTTCTATCTGCTTTTTTGCCCATAGATGTTCTTCCTGTTTTAAGGACAAGTTTAGGTGATACTTTTTCCATTATTTTTTCGCAAATTCCCCTGAACAGATTGGGGCTTACAACTTCTAATCCATCTAAGATCTGTTAATATCAATGCTGTTTTTACAGGCTTCCCACATTTCCCTAATAATAAGTTAATTATCTGGTTTTGTTTTTGTTTTATATATTCCAAGAACACAGATTTCTTGGATGACTAAGAGTAAAAAGCCAAAACATTTTACTCTAAAATATTATAAGGTAGTTCAGTCAATGAAATTGTAATACTGAAGCACTTAGAACAGTAGGTATCATATCCCAGAAGCACTAATGTCCTAGTTTGTAACATTTTAAAAATCTGTTTGCCATTAGCACTAAAATTGTGACACAGTGGAGTACTTCATTTTGATAACTGTATGAACATGTTTCCATCAGCTTTTTATTATCATACCATTTATTACATTAAAGAAACTAAGGCCTTCATAGCAGTTAAAATATTTATCTCTTCCTCCCACTAGATTAGAAGCTGTGAGAAGGAAGCTTCTGTATCCTATCCAATCTTATATCCTGTAGTATCAGCAAATTTATAGTAGGATCTAAATGTCAGCTTGGTGATTTGCCCTTTCATCTTCATAAATGCTTTCAAACCTGGATATGTATTTTTCCTCTTACATGACGCAGTTTGGTGAAGTTTCCCAGGGAGAAAATGAAATTTATGCCATGACTAAACCTCTTATTGTTCTAATTCACAATTAATTTTATTCCTCTTGGCACACAGGAACATCCAGGAGGCCATGGATTTGTTTCCTGCTCTATCATCAAGCCTAGAGCATTATTGTCTGATGCAAAGCAAAGAACAAATATTGCCGAATAGGTAAACGAATGCCAATTTAGTTGGTTATTCAGTACAGTCAATAGTCGGTAAAGGAAACAAAGTTATGTTTGCCTCTAATATCAAAGTGTTCCACTTTATTACCCATAAATTGAATTTTTCAGATCATCATGAATATTGGTTTGTCTAGAGATCCCCTCAAGCATGAAGAAGCAGAGAGGTGGTGTGATTATTACACATAAAGAAAAAAACTTGTTCATGAAGTATAACCAATTTTTAAAATTACTGAGGAATGGTAACTGTCATACTTTAATATGCTTTAACAGAGAATTAGTCAACACTGTAACATAAATGAAAGGGTAGAAGAGTTTTTTTATTTTTTTAATTCAAGGTAAAAGTGTGTGATTATTTGACCTAAAGAGCAAATCATCACCATCAACATTTTTAATTTTATTGGAATTGTGAAGTTATTTAAATATATTAGCTCCATAATTCTCACATATATCATATGAGGAAAACATTTTTATCACTGTTTCTCAGATAAGGGAACAGGATTTAGATTCAGTTCCCAAGGTCATGGGAATTAAGTCTCTAGATGTCCCTAGAAGTATATTTCATAAGGGGTTCCATTTTCTTTTTTTCAGTGTTTAGGTGATTCCAAATAATCCTCTCTTCCAAATTGCCAAACAGAAATATGACYTGATGAAGAGTGAATTTCTTCTTTTTCTAATGTAATAGTAACAGCCTTTTGTATTAGAATATAAATATTAAACAATTTTATATGTGAATTTAAGCATTTTATACTTTCTGCTGCCCTTTATCATTGGAAAAAGGGGACAAAAGCAAAAAGAAAACAACATTTTTCCCTAAAATTGAAGGGAAGTATTTTCCTCTTTTATACACAGTAGATATCAGGCATCTTGAATTTTGATCCTTGCTGTCCTGATGTGCTGTAACTAAATTTTCTATTACAGAATCTTGCAGTTTGATTTTAATGGAGGATTTTTCTGCCTTTGATGCAGTCAAGAAGAAATAAGGCATACACATGGAGGCATAAAAGGTAGAAATGAAAGTTGAGTATTATAGGAACAAAAGGTGAGGGGAAGGAAAATTCTACTTCTAAAAACTTTGAGCATGGAGAATAACCTCAAGACTAGATTTGGGAGATTTTTAAGCACACAGACCAAGAAAGGGATCTTGGAAAAACTATTAAAATTCCWAAAACTTGGGTTGGATAAAGTCACGTCAGTCCATTACTTAGATTCCTATGAATTTGCGGGATTCTCTTGCAATTTTAACAAGAACACTTGTGCTGTGATCTAAATGTTTATGTCCTTCTGACCCTACCAAATTCATAACGCTGAGATTTTAGCCCTCAAGTTGATAGTATTAGGAAATGGGATTTTTAAGAGGCTATTATGTCATGGAGACGGGAGCCTTCATGAATGGGATTCGTGCCTTTAAACAGGAGTCCCAGAGAATGTTCACTTTCATGTACAGTTAAGAGTGAAAACAGAGCCATCTATGAACAAACAAGGGGACCCTCACCAGATGCTGATTTGTCTATGCACTTCTTAGCCTCCAGACGTTTAAGAAATAAATTTCTGTTGTTTATAAGTCACCCAGTTCCTGATAGGTTGTTAATAATAGCTTAACAGTCTGAATAGATTGAGACAACTTGATAGCTTATTGCTCAGCAGGATTCCCATCAGGCCAGCTCACCAATCTCTTTCAGGACAGAATTAAACCTCCCCCACCTACATGCTCCATAAATACAAAATCAGCAATGTCCTTGGGAGAATTGATGGGCCAAAGGACATCCCCAATTGCCTGTTACAAGGGAAAATAAGAAACTAAGCAATTCTGATAAGCTAAATGACAGGACATCTGAGGGTTTCTATCCTGATTAGGAATCTGCAGTGAACTTGAGAAAATCTTGACCATCTTTATGACTTTCAACACCAAATATTCACAGTGAGGTAATGACATGCATCAGCAAATAACAGAGGAATAGAGTTCTTTTGTAAATTAGTGAGGGAAGTTGGGTATGCCTTTTCATGAACCAAAATAAGGAAAATAAGTCAGCTGCAACCAATAATGTAATAACTAGAATGTCTTGACTCTGAAATCATCTACAAATGAAGTTAAAAAAAATAAAAGAGAAACTTTAAAATTCATATACCAGGTTATATCTATAAGAGAGGGAAACTGAATTACTTCTAAAACCATCTCATTTACATGTAGGCAATAGGGACACTAACAAAAAAGTTGGTATTGAGCCTTTGTCCTCTGAAAGCGCATCTACATTGGTACCCCTCCCCACACACACCAAATAGCTAAAAATAGTCCATCTGTCATGT